TTCTGCCCAGGAAGGGCTGAACCTAGCTCACCAGCCAAAGTTGGTCCAGGACCACTCCCAAGCTGTAAGCCTGCTTCTTTGGGGGAGTATAACCCCATTCAGTACAGAGCATAAACCATTCCCTGGGTCAGACTTTCCCTCCACCAGTAGCACCTCCTTTTTGTTGGAATACGTTTCAACTTGTTAGCTCTCAACCATTTCAAAGTTGCCTCCGGGTACCTCTTCACAGTTTCCACAGTCTCCCCGGGAATTTCTGAGAGTGCGAGAGAGATGAGTGTCACCTGCATATTGATGGCAACTCAGCCCAGATCTCTGGATGACCTCTCCCAGTGGCTTTACATAGATGTTGAAATGCATGGGGGACAAGATGAAACCCTGGGGAACCCCATAGGCCAGAGGTTAAGGGGCACAGCTGTAGTCCCCCAGCACCTTCTAAAACCCCTGAGGCAGGACCAGAACTACCACAGAACAGTGTCCCAGTTCCTAAAGGCAATCCAGAAAGATATCATGATCGTTGGTATTGAAAGCAGCCAGGAGGTCCAGGAGGATTAATAGAATTAGCAGTATAGCATTTAGGAATAATAACAAAGTACGGTTTGCTGGAGTGTGAATGCACCTGAAGGATGCTCCAGCTAGTGCACTCCCATATCTCGGTCCGCCCTTACGCAAGGTAATTATGGTTTCCCACAAACCTGGAAATAAGTGTAATTGTCATTTCATCCAAATTGAACCTGCAAACCAGAATCAAACCATTATTTGCAATCCAACTGTGCAGAGGAAATAGTTTGCAAATTATGATTTGTCACAAAAGTGGAAATAACAAATTAGCTGAGAAGCAACTTATTTGACTAATTATCTTAGGAGTGAGTAAATACAATGTCCCCCAAGCTCATTCATGTAGCAAACTAAAGCATGGACTGCTGTTATATCTGAACCATGCCTAAAATAATGAAATCTCACGTTCAACTTGCCTCTGCATATCTTCATTCCAATTAATTGAGTCAAACAGAAGAATATGTCAGAAACTGTTTGACTTAAAACTGAAAACATGATCTTTGGATGTTTGTTTTCTATAATCTTGTACAGTATTTTATGCTCATAAAAGACATCTGAATCAAGATCCATGCCAAGTTTATAGGTCTCTTTGAAATTGAGAACATATTTATTCTGAAAGTTCTAGCAGGGTTTGTAGTCTAGAGTACAGTATCTCCACCTGTATGTCAACATAAGCCATTTTCAAGTACAGATGGCAAAAGTAACATGAAAGAAAATATGTATAGAACACATGAGCTTGGCAGGTTCATGTTTCAGGAAAAGAACTGAGTCCAATCCTGAAGTGTGGAAAACCACTGCATCAGAATTACACATTAATATTAAATGCCTGTCATCTGTTGCTCCATTATCATGGAATAACTTAGCCAAGTGAGATATGAGCTCCTTGTTTAAAAGAAAGCCACTATCAAGCAAGTAACAGACAGCAGAAACCTGAGAGCCAGAAGGGAAAGATCAAGCCTCCTAATTTATCTCCTTTCTTAAATATGAAGCACCTTTTTAATTAAAGATGGGTCGGTTTACACAGCAGACATGAACAGAGATACTGACATTAGATATGAATTAATGGGACGAGAAAGCCACACTGCAGTAAAACACAATACCACTTGAGTCATGTCTACATACATGTTAGTTCACTCCATTCTTAGAGGGACAGGCAGTGGTCCTGGCTTCCATTGTTTTTATTATGCATTTATGTTTGACTCAGGATTTGACCTACTTGCAAATCAACCTAACATTCTCTCTTTTTTTCAGTGTGTTTATACCCCAGACTACACCAGAATAAATACAAGCTTCCCAAGGAGACAAGGATAGTGACTGCTTCTTTGTCACTAGAAGCTACAAAAATTGCCTTTTCTCAGTTGCTAGCATAACATTTTCCAAGTGTCCATGCAAACAGGCACCTAGGATTTTCTCATCACCCAGATTATCCTTTAAACCATCTGAGAAGTGAAGTTGTACTTTCACTATCATGTTGCAAATTTGAACAAACTAAATTTGAACAGGTACCAAAAACAAAGGAAGTAGGTGGAACATGGGCTCATACGCCATCTTTTGCGGAATAGAAAGGCACTAAAAGGTAGGCAGAATCAACAAATATGGTAGTCTAATCTAAGACTAACTTTTCAGCCACACATCATGTGTATTGTGATAAAGTTCTACTGAAGAAAGTATCCACTCTTGTAAGAGTAATATAATTTCTACCTACCAATAAATATTCTTACCAGTGCAGTATTAATTTCCAGATCTTTTCAACACAAATGCATATGTTAGAAATGAGTAAAATCAACTTTAAATTAGCATTATAATCTGCACCAGGGGTCCCAAAACATATTGAGTCTGTGGGCCCTTCTGGATTTGAGAAGAGGTAATGTTTACTGCCACGAAATGGCTGCTAGGGGGACTGGGGTTAGTGACAAACGTTGAGAGGTTCCCAGCCATGTGTCATTCTATGAAGAAGCCAGCTCCCTCCAAATGGGTGCTCCCTACAAACACAAAGGTGATGTCTCCTAAGAGCTTCTGAATAATCTCCTACTCCAGCTAGCCAGGACTGGCTCTTTGCTTTGGAGAAGAGTGATGTGGGCATCAAGAAATACATTTGTGAGCACAATGGCACCCAAGGATTTTCAAGGCAAGAGACTTTGGAGGTTTGCCATTGCCTGCCTCCGCATCACAACCCTGGTATTCCTCAGAGGTTTCCCATCCAAATACTAACCAGGGTCAATCCTGCTTAGCTTCCGAGATCTGGCTAGCCTGGGCTATCCAGGTCAGGGTATACAATCTACCCTAAATCACAGTAATTCACTAAAACTAGGGCCTTCCAATCCTGATTTTGTTTTATATAAAAAATAGGTTAATCCGTTTACTTCTAATTAATGTTTTGCTAAAATACCTATTACATATAATAATCAGGAGAAGTCAACAGAAACCCTAAAGCACAGCTGCTGAGCCAGTGCTCTAGGACAATCATCTGTTTCAAGCCAAACATGGCTCTCATGAAGCCTATAAGATTGTATTTAAATGAGACTTCGTGCCACAAAGTTTCACCTGACAGTTTCACAAGCTAACAAGGGAATAGGTGGAGGAGTTGCAAAACGTGTTTGTCACTTATTTCTAGTAATACCAACCAACCTGCAAAAGTAAACAGCATACTCAATGCTATATAGCCTTACATATCCCTTACATACTACTGTGATGATGCATCAAAAGCTTTGTCAAACCACTGTAGATTATGAGCTGCAGAATTGGGATGGGTTTACAAATATGTATTTTCTGCATACTTTTACAATTGTAATATGCAGTATTGAAAGCATAATTGACAGAATGGACATTAGACATGACACTGAAAATAGGTCTTGGGTGTGCAGAGCCCAAGTTTAGGGCCTTAAAGACTGATTCACTTTTAGTCTAATCATACCAAAGGCATTAATAGCAGGCCTGAGAAAATATTTCAAATGTTAAGGATAACCACTTATCTGAGGTTCCCTTCACTGCAATTCTGTGCTCTTCACTGCAGTTGTGCTCTTCTAAGTCCACTGAAGTCAGTGGGCTTAGGAGAACATAACTTTCTTTAGGACTGCACTGTAAGTTTTTCCAACCCTAGCAGTACAGAGCAGAAGTTGAAACCTTCGTTAAATGCACTTTCAGTGATCTAATACAGAGACAAGCAACTATACAAAAGTGCATGTAAAGAACATCCTCTCTAAGAAATAAATTCCCGAGTTACCCTTTTCACACATCTCAAAATACATCTCTCTCCCCTTGCACTTTAAAAAAGTAACATGATTTGGAAATTTAGCACAAAGCACACTTCCACAAATATGTCAGAAGAACAAAGCACTATAAATGACAACAACTCTAATTACTCTCACCCCCATTTCAAACAAAGGGTACATCCTGCTAAAAAGCAGAGCTATGTGGACTCTGGAAGTGTTCAGAGACAAACAGGCTACTTCTGCACTGTCATTTCTGTCACTCATTTGTCCCTATTACTTCAGGGTCCCGTCCCCCCCCATGTGTTTTGCTCTCTCTAGTAGTCCCAAGAGGGAGCAAAACACTTGTGGGAAAGGGGGGGAGCCATAGGGACAAATGAGTAAAAAAAATGACAGTGCGGAAGTGGCCACAGACTCCAACTTTGTCTTTCAGTACAAGTGCTGTGGATACAATTTTGACCCTAAACAGCTAAACTGACAACGCTGCAAGCATCATACCATTCACTAATTACTGTTCTCATTAACGTCAATGAGGATAGGACATCATCCTAAATAGATGGTCATCCAGGCTCTTGCAAACTGAACATATGACATCCATACTCCTACCCAGCTTTCTAAGTGCAATATATTTACTCTGTATAATAACAGCCAATCTGGCAGACAGAGAACAGATACCACCCTCAGTGTCTCTTTTTGACATTAGGCTTGTTAAAACTAATCCAAATCTGACTTGAATATTTCAGCTTTGACAAATTTTAAGGATAGGGTGTAGTAAAATACCTCAAAGATCTACCAGATGCAGTGATCAAACTTGGCCAAATCCAGTCACTCTTCTTTTGCAATCATTCCAGCAGTTAAAATGGAAACATTTAGGTTCCTCCTTTAAATGCCTACTCACCAAAACGTTTTGAATACCAGCATTTGAAAGATCCCAAAAAGGCAAGAACCAACAAGCCTGATACATGGAAACGCATCCCCCTGAACTTCAGAGGATTTGCTTTCAATATGGCCTGGCCTGTATAGGGGCTGTATTTCTCCAAAGGTTTCTTTCCCGCCTTAAAATTTTACTCCTAATCAGAGAAGAGAGAAATAACTGACGTCCTACAGCACCATATTTTGGATGTTAAACCCCACTGATGCAGCGGGGGGAAAAAACAAGTAGCGGCTCTGTCGGGGCAGGAAGCTTGAAGGGGATCTGTCAGCTAGGACCTGCCGCCACTCACGCGGCTCCCTCACCTCCTGAATGCGCTTGCGGGCCCGCTGCAGCACCTCCTCGTAGCCCTTCTGCCGCAGTTCGCTCAGGCTCTCGTAATATTCCTCCGGGTCATCCGTCTCGGTGAAGAGCACCTGGGAGAGGATCTTCCACCCGCAGGTGTCCAGGCAGTGGCCCAGGTAAACCTGCAGCTGGTAGCACAGGGCGTCCATCTCCTGCTCGGACAGCTCCGGCGCCCCGAAGAGCACCGTCCACATGCCCGAGGGCTCCTCGGGGAAGACCGGCAAGCAGGGCTCCAGCTCCGAATTCACCGAGCACAGCTGCTGGTGGACGGCCCGCAGGTCCTGGAAGGAGAAGAGCCCGGCCCAGCTGCACTCCTCCCCCGACAGCGCCTCGGCCTCCGCGCAGGCCCCGGCCGACGGCTCGGCGGGCGGGGAGGAGGGCAGCAGGAGGGCGGCGGCGGCGGCGGGGCCTCCGGCAGCTGTCTCGTCCTTGCCCAGCTCCAACACCTCGAGCTCCTCGGCCGCGCAGGCCGCCAGGCTGAGCGGCACCTCCGGGCCGGGCTGGGGCCTCCGGGCCTGCCTGCTCCTCGCCCGCGCCGGGCTCCTCTGCGACCCCTCGGCCGCCCGGCCGCCGGGGCTCCTCAGCACCACCGAGTCCGCCGCCCGGGCCGGGGAAACCGGCGAGCTCCTGGCTTGGCCCTGCTCGGCGCTCCAAGCCGGGCTCCTGCGCACGGGGGGGCTCCCGCCGCCGGCCTTGGAGGAGGGCCGCGGCTCGGCTCCGGCGCCGCCGCCAGGGCTGCTGCTGCCGGGGCTGCTTGGCAGGTGAGGGCGAACTTGCCCTCGATCTCATTCCAGGCCACGATGAAGACGAACTTGTGCTTCTCCGGCTCGTGGAAGGCATGAGGCCTCACCGCCACCCAGTCCGCCTCCAGCGTCTCCTCCAAGGCGAAGGTGGTGCTCATGGTGGCGCGGCCCTCCCCTCAGCCGCCGCCGCTCCGGACTGGGGCTCTTCCCCACCACCACCACCCCTCGCGCTCGCTCACTGCCCAGCATCAGCCATTTTAGCCGACACCGAAGGGAGGCAGGCAGGCAGGATGGATGCGGTGGCGATGCGATGGGAAACAAACGCTGGGATAGGCTGAGGCGCGCCAGAGAGTCGTCAGTCCCCCACAACGGCCGCCGCGGCCTCCTCAGCCCTCTGCGGCGCGCGCGCGCCCCTTCCCTCTCGCGCTCGCGCTCTCTCTCGGCTTTGTGATTCTGAGGCCGGACGGCGGCTGCCTGGCGGGGACAATGCCGTCAATAGGCAGGCGTACAGGTACTTCAGGCGATCACGTGGAGGCCCCGGATCTGTTTACTGGCGCTGCTCCGCCTCCGGCGCGCTTCCACCGCCCGCATCAAGAAGCCTACTCGGCGCCTCCTTTACACCACTCTCCGGCTCGGCCCGCGGCTCCGCCTCCTTCTCCTCCGCCGCCGCCCCCCGCGACGCCAGTTTGGGGTGCGGGGGAGATGGAGGGCGGGACTCCCCGCTGTCGCTCGTCTTTTGCCGTCCGGCCCGACCAGATTTCCTTCTTTCTCCGGTTTCTCCCTCCTGAGTGCCCAGGAGCGCCTTTGTTGTTGTCAGGCTTCGTCTCTCCTCCCCACCCCACCCCCGCTAAAATGATCGCTCTCGCTCGAACAATGTGCCCATTGAAGCCACCCAGGCTGCGCGCGTCAAGCTCAGGCGCCCTTTCGGAGGGAATCCGACCCAAGCGCCAGCCCAGCCCTCACCGGAGCCTTTGGGGGCAGCTGGCTGGGTGATAGTGTGGCGGTGGGAGCTTCGCGAAATGAGTGGACAGTGGAAACCAGGCAGTTGTGCGGCTAATGTGTCCTGAATGCTGGGCAGGGCAGTTCGTATTTTTGGTTTGCGGCTCCATATACCGTCCAGACCAGCACTCTAACAGCCTTACAGCTGAATGTCAGTTCTGCGCAATAGGCATACATCTTCTGTCAGCAGGGCTTCATGCAGGAAATATATAAACTGGAAATCTTTGTGGGAGTCAGTGCTTAATTCTGAGCCAAAACGTACAAACCTAGGGTTTTAAAAGCTGTGTTCAGTCCCTAGCATTAGGCAAAGTGACACTCAGGTGGCAAGTTTCAGGACAAACGATGTTTTCACCACCATGCAGTGCCTGCTTTAGCAGGGAGGGCGGGATATAAATAGAATTAAATAAATAAATCATTTGGATTTTCAGCACCAAAATGTTTTAGGCTACCCCAAGGGGGCATAGTCCTAGCAAATGTAAAGAGATAAAAGGAGCATTCCTAACCACAGCCAATATCTATGTGGGCAGTCACCCAGTTCGGTGTAGTGGTTAGGAGCATGGACTCTAATCTGGGAGAACCAGTGATTCCCCACTCCTCCGCAAGCAGCTGCTGGTGTGACCTTGGGTCAGTCATAGTTCTCTCAGAGCTGTTCTGGAAAGAGCAGTTCTCGAAAGAACTCTCTCAGCCCCACCTACCTCACAGGAAGGGAAAGGAGATTGTAAGTCACTCTCAAATTCCTTCAGGTAGTGAAGGGTGGGGTATAAATCCCATCTCCTCCTCCTCCTCCTCTTCTTTCTTAATGAAACTGTAGTATTTTATTTGTTTATTGTGTACTTCAGGTATAGCCCCACTAGAGCAATTCAGTCAGAGAACATAAAATAGCACAAACAATGCAGTGGGACTAGGATTACAGAACTGGAAAACAACACAAGCAAAACAAAGCTAAGCAACCTGTCTGAGCCATGACATACCATAATGCAGAAAGTGGGTTACAAAGGTTGAAGACAGTGCAGTAAAAGCAAGGTGATACATGCAATAAACATTGCAACAGACTACAATCCTGTTCCCTCCTGAAAGCAGCCTCCTGAGCTGTTCCATTATACTACAGGAGAGCATTGCGCTCAGGAAAACAACATCTGCTGGAAGCAGGGGTCATTTCGTAGACAAAGAGGTACAGGATCTCATTAGCATAAATTATAAGCATAACTTATTTGCATATGCCACACACCCTGACATCACCGGAAGTGTGTCAGAAGGCAACACCCGCCACTCAGGCTCCACTGGACTCTTTTGAATCGCTAGCTATTGGGGGGGGGGGACGTGCAGATCTGTCCTCACAGAGGAGGGAGAGCTTGTCACTGAATAAAACTTGGTCTTAAAGGTGCCACTGGACTGTTCTGGATTGCTAGCTATGGGGGGGGGAACGCGCAGATCTGCCCTCACAGACGAGGGAGAGCTTGTACCTGAAGGCGGGCGGGGGGGGCCCTCTGCAACTTACCTGGCTGCTTCTTGCTCCTCGTGGCCCAACTGAGGGCTGCTGGGAGCAGGGGGTGGGGCTTGTTGCATGTGCCCGCCCGCTGGGCTCCTTACTGCCAGAGCTCCGCTCCTGTGCGCTCCCACAGGAAATGACCCCTGGCTGGCAGTCCCTGGCCCAAAGAGTGTCCAGCTTACTCAGCCTGGGCCAGGGCCTTCTCAGCTTCGGCTCCAACTTGGTGAAACTCTCTGCTGAACAACAACAGGGCCCCGTGAGACCTCTTACAGTTCCGCAGGGCCTGTAAGACAGAGATGTTCCGGCAAGCATATGGCTGAGGACAGCAACTGGGTTTTAACAGCAAATTGGCCACCTGACTACCTCTCACTTTTGTCCCTCACCAATGGGGTGCAAATTCATAATATGATGTCATATAGGTTTATTCTCTGTATATTGTTTGTTTTAAAACCGTTGTATTTATTTGTATGTATAAATTGATGAATTGTTTTAATCCCGTAGAGCACCACTCTGAGCCTGCTCCGCAGGGAGAGCAGTATAAACATTGAATTATTATTATAATTATTATAATAATTAATAATAATTAAACAGTATTAAATCCATTTGCATATTAAAACTAGTAATTCTGAAGAAAAACATTTTTTTAGGTGATGGGCATATCACAGCAGGCATCATTTTACACACAGAGGGCATTCCTCTCTCTACTAAGATGTACTTTATAACCACGGAGGAGGAGGAGGAGGCTTTTTCAGTCCCTCTTTACCCCATCAGCTTAACTTATAGCCCTGCTATCTATACATTTTGAGATCAGGAAGAAGAGCTTTACCCATTTTAAAAATGGATGGATTTGGAATTGGCTTGCTCCCTGACATATTCATTCTTTTTTAACTTTCATTTTCCTTTGTCAAATTTTGGAGGACAAGAGGAAGATTCCCTTGAACGAATGAGCTGAGGTGGGGACAGAACAGGAACAGGGAGGCAAGGAGGGTTAGGGGAGCAGGTGGCGAAACTAGACAGCGAACACTGAAAGAGACAAAGCACGGTGGAGAGTAGCGGTTGGGTCCAAACAGCGTGTGCCAGATGCTGCCCAAGAGTGATACATTTAACCCTGTATCGCTCTTTCATCATGGGTTTTAGATTCCCCTCATGGGAATGGTCTCTCTTTTATTTTACTGTTGCCCCTGAAACAAAGCTGTATGTTTTCAGTGGTATCACTGACATTAATCAATAGGCTCAACCACAGGAGCTACTGATTCTATTTTGTCACCCATAACATAAGTGGAAGGAGGTTCTGTTTGTCCCCAGGAAGCATACAAATCACCAAGCAGATGTTTTAAGCAGTTTCACACTCCCCCCTCCCCATGTAGAGATAATCTTTGTATTGAGAAAAAAATGTGTGTCGCTTTGTGTGAAGCAAGCATGTTTTTCTTTGTGACATAGAATATGCAGACTGAGAAACCTTTGTTCCTTGGCTTTCCAATCTATGAGTTCATGGCAAAATAAACACCCGCACTGTTTTTTCACAAGATACCTTTTTATTATACTATGAGATACCTTTTTATTATACTATGAGTATCTCCATAGAGAACAAATTCGAGATAAAAAGCTGCCTTCTGATGTTGCTGATGCACAGTTCAGTGTTTTCCTCGTATTCGTAGCCTCAGAAACATCCCTTGTGAGGGTCCTTCCCTCATATCCCCATCCAGATACCCACTGGCAGATGAAAATGGCTTTACATTATATGAAAGAAACTTTCACCACAGGTGTGCCATTTGAGCAAGTAAAATGTGCAACCTGCATTCATTGGTCTCAGTAACCAATAGCCCAATATATATAGAATTCAGGAGATTTTTAACTTCAATGTATACTTTTCTCTGCCTGTTTCAACAAATAGATTCTTATGTGTATAATCGAAATCTAGCTTTCTGACTGTTTGGTGTAGTGGTTAAGTGTGCGGACTCTAATCTGGGAGAACCGGGTTTGATTCCCCACTCCTCCACTTGCACC